TTACCCGCTCCTCTCGGAGGGGGAAAACCTGTTGATCCTTCTGCGTAGATACGCGCGCCTTAAATGATCCAGCAAGCATCACAGACCTGTTATTGCTCAATCTCGTGCGGCTAGAATTGCCGCTTATCCCTCTAAGAAGAAGTTGCGAACTGACACCATTTTCTGGAGATCCGTCGACTACTTAGTAGGCCAGAGTCTCGTTCGTTATCGGAATTAACCAGACAAATCGCTCCACCAACTAAGAACGGCCATGCACCACCACCCACCGAATCGAGAAAGAGCTCTCAATCTGTCAATCCTTCCGGTGTCTGGGCCTGGTGAGGTTTCCCGTGTTGAGTCAAATTAAGCCGCAGGCTCCACTCCTGGTGGTGCCCTTCCGTCAATTCCTTTAAGTTTCAGCTTTGCAACCATACTTCCCCCGGAACCCAAACACTTTGGTTTCCCGGAAGCTGCCCGCCGTCATGGGAATAACGCCGGCGGATCGCTAGTTGGCATCGTTTATGGTTAGAACTAGGGCGGTATCTGGATCGCCTTCGAACCTCTAACTTTCGTTCTGATTAATGAAACATCCTGGCAATGTTGCAGAGGTTCGTCTTGCGACGGTCCAAGAATTTTCACCTCTAGCTGCCGCATCACGAATGCCCCCGCCTGTTCCGATTAGTCATTACCTCTGGTTCCGAAAATCAACAAAAATAGAACCAGGCCTATTCCATTATTCCATGCATCACCATTCGCCATTCAAATAGCCTGCTCTGAGCACTCTAATTTTTTCAGTAACTTTCGCCACTCGACACTTCGACAAAGAGCATCCTCGTATGAAGCCGGGCGGGCGGGGTTATGGTTCGAGCGTGACATTAAACACCGACATGTGCAATCAGCCAGTCTCGAATTGAGATCCAACTACGCTTTTTTAACCGCAACAACTTTAATATACGGCTGAGCTACCGCGGCTGCTGGCACCAGACTTGCCCTCCAATGGATACTCGTTAAAGGATTTAAAGTGTACTCATTCCGATTGCGAGGCCTCGATGAGACTCACATCGTTATTTTTCGTCACTACCTCCCCGTGCCGGGAGTGGGTAATTTGCGTGCCTGCTGCCTTCCTTAGATGTGGTAGCCGTTTCTCAGGCTCCCTCTCCGGAATCGAACCCCGATTCCCCGTTACCCGTTATAGCCATTGTAGGCGCATAACCTACAATCGAAAGCTGATAAGGCAGACACTTGAAAGAAGCGGCGCCGGTGCGGAGACCGTGCGCTCAGCCCGAAGTTATTCAGATTCACCACAGGTGGGTTACGAACCGGGGCCCGACCAGTTTTGAACTAATAAAAGCGCTCTTCCCTTGCGGTCAGAGACCAATTGCATGTATTAGCTCTAGAATTGCCACAGTTATCCAAGTAAGTGGGTTTACAGATCCAATGAAACATAGTTGATTTAATGAGCCATTCGCGGTTTCGCCTTAAATCGGCTTGTACTTACACATGCATGGCTTAATCTTTGAGACAAGCATATGACTACTGGCAGGATCAACCAGGTAGCTGCTGCTGTTGGCGGCGCCTATCACGGCGGCCAAAATAGTGAGATTGAGAGAGAGGCAGAAGACATTGGGCGAGGGACCGCACGTTGGCCTTAGAGAAATAGCAAACCAGATGATCAGATCTAACTGCACCTTCTCTTGCTATCCTCGGCGCCGGCAGCGCCACCGTGTGTGCCAATCTCCTCCCTTATCCGCTCCTCTTTGCCCTAGCTCCAGCGAGGCAGCCGACATTGGGCGAGGGACCGCACGTTGGCGAATCTCCTCCCTTATCCGCTCCTCTTCTCTTTGCCCCAGCGAGGCAGAAGACATTGGGCGAGGGACCGCACGTTGGCCTTGGAGAAATAGCAAACCAGATGATCAGATCAAACTGCACCTTCTCTCGCTATCCTCGGCGCCGGCAGCGCCACCGTGTGTGCCAATCTCCTCCCTTATCCTCTCCTCTTCTCTTTGCCCCAGCGAGGCAGCCGACATTGGGCGAGGGACCGCACGTTGGCCTTAGAGAAATAGCAAACCAGATGATCAGATCAAACTGCACCTTCTCTTGCTATCCTCGGCGCCGGCAGCGCCACCGTGTGTGCCAATCTCCTCCCTTATCCGCTCCTCTCCTCTTTACCCAGCTCCAGCGAGGCAGCCGACATTGGGCCAGGGACCGCACGTTGGCCAATCTCCTCCCTTATCCGCTCCTCTTCTCTTCTCTTTGCCCCAGCGAGGCATAAGACATTGGGCGAGGGACCGCACATTGGCCCATCTCCTCCTCTCTCTCTTTCTCTTACTGTTTGTGGGGACGTGGGCTCATGAGCGCCATCGTCGCCCAATATTGGTTAGGTTGTGTATTTCACGGGTGGGAACCGCCATCATCGTTGTTAGGTGATGGGGTAACCCAACGTGTGCTTTGACGAGTTTTGGCTGCTAAACTCTCTTTTTAGTATACTCGGCTCCCAGACTGCGCCCTGGTCGTGTTGAACCATGAGCGTTGTCTATGCACATTTAGGGTAGCCGTTTGCGCGTGGAATAGTGCAATGAATCTCGGTCAATAGACGGTTGGGCGCTGCATTGAAGGCCGGCACAGACGCGAAGACGGGGTGATCAGCCAACGCAAGTCCGCTAAGTTGGGCAGACAGCAAGGCGAAGGGGAGCCCCGTTCCGGACTGAAAGGCCGCAGCATATGCTGTGACGGAAACTAGTAGGGTGGCGACGTGTGCGCCGAGAGAGAGAGAGAGAGAGACGGAGTAAATAATGTCCAAACGGAAGAGAGACCTGGCAAGTGTAATTGATAGAGCGCGAGCCTACTCGCCATAAGCCCACTCCACTGCCATTCCTCTGATCCAATGAGACTAAAATCTCTCTCCTTCTGCTCCAGCCATTGCAGGGCAGGGAAGCGACGGCAATTATGGTTGTTGTTTTGAATGCCGCGCTTTGCTTCACAGAGGCGCTCCGCTGGGGGGCGGAAGATATTTCACACCGAATATGTGTGTGAAGGCACCCTCTCCCCTTAATAAAG